CTCGCACCGTGTACATTTTCGTTATCACGGTATCTTGATCGCGATGCCGCTCGAAGCTCGACTCAATCAATAGGTATGTATATATCGGCGATCGCCATTACGAGAAAGCTATTGTTGCTTGTATTATCGGAACAAGTCGAAAAGTCCGGTCTGATTTTTCGACGAACGACGTCACGAACGATGCACGCAACAATGCCGGAGCGTTGGCGGAAAATAGCGAAAGCTATTACCTGCTTGGTAAGTAATGTGTTTCCATTGAGTGCGATAAAGACAAGTTCGATTAAAACATCGAGCCGAACTTGTCGATTGCGTCAACACATGTTAACTCACAGCCCTTATTACTAACTTCCTCGATAGGATTCAATCAGAGTCGATAACTACCAACGTTTGCAGTCGATCCTCGTGTGTGTGTGTGTGTGTGTGTGTGTGTGTGTATGTGTGTGTGTGCAATTCTTCTCACGAATTTTTGGATTAAAATTACTTTAGATTAAGCTACGTATAGTTTGCAGATTAAACATTATACCCTCCTTGCTTCTAATTATTCACTTATTTATTTACGCTAGTAATTTATCTTTGGTACTGTGGGTATTATTATCTAAACGAGATAAAGAAAAATTCGATGAAAAAAATAAATAAGAACAAGAATAAATAAATTATATTATTTTCTGCTTCTTATTTGTAGAAGCAGAGGTGATATACAGATATATTTTAGGAAGAAATAATTGAGAAAATATAGTAATGAACGTACGACGAGAAAAGAAATGAATAAATTCAAAAGAACGAGATTATCAAAATTAATGAAAAATAGGTCGAATATAATAAAAAGCTTAGTCAGAAATAGCGTTATAATGACACGTTAGATAACAAATTACCGTCGGACACAGCAATTGCTGCTGGAAATAAGAGAAAGCTTCGCAATGCAATGTTTTGCCACGGAGATGTCCGCGATTATTGTTGCGCGGGAACAAGTGTTTCCTCGCAACTCTCGCGCACAACCGCTGGATATATTGCCCGCCGCGTATCGATGGGGTTAATACCCCGCGGGCGCGCGCGGGGAGAAGAGTACTCGCATAAATAATTTTTCTGGGTCGCTAATAATCCAATAACAGCGTGAGATCGCGCTCGGTCGCGCGCGTTCAAGCGGTATGACGTATGTACGAGGTCGTGGCGCGGCGCGGAGCCGGTAAAACGGCGACATGAGAGCTTTCGCGCGCTATAAGAAGTATTCGGAGCGTGTGAGATCAAGCCCGACTGGGCGGGTATGTCGGATTTATGGCGGCCGTGCACGGCATCTGGTTAAAACAACGTTGATGCCCTGCCGACCGAGCCGGGGGAGCGGGTGAACACGAACGATTACTCCCAGAATCGCGGGCAACACACACGGCCCCGACCCGGCGAACGCGCGCGCAGGTACAGAATCCACGACATTGTCCTCCTGGTATTGACATTCGCGGTTTGACAGAATACAAGTGTGCTAAACCTCAGCTGATGGAGGGTAATCGGAATCGGCTCGTATATCAGTATATACGAGCTAATATCGCAGGTACAATGTCGCCCGCGGCTACTCGAGGCACCCGCGCAGTGCGCGATAGATTATCTAATAAGAAAAATAATCAGTCCGGTTTCTCTCTGGACTTTCGATTAATTCGACGTTTGAAAAAGAGAAAGGCGGAGAGACAGAGGGAGAAGGCTCGGCTATCGACGATGGAAGCGGGCGGATTCATGAGGGAAGTTTAGACCGACGGTTACTCGAATCAGCCGCGTTGTACACGACTGATTATCTAATAAGAGAAATAATCGGTCCGATTTCTCTCTGTATTTTCGTTTAATTTCATTAGGGAAAGGAGAAAAGAAAGAAAAGAATCGTCAACTCGACGATAGAAGAGGGGCGATTCACGAAGGAAACTTCGATTGATTGTTATTCGCGTTGAGCAACGTACGATATCGCGTTATTCATTATACAATATTATCTAATAGGCAAATAATTAATATATCCAATTTCTTTTTTAATTCTAAATTAATTTCTTTTGAAAAAGAAAAGGGAGGAAGATCGGCTCGCTGATGGAGAAAAAGTGATTCACATGAGGGAAGTATAAAATTAGTAATCCATACAGTAATCTTCTTTTTTTGATCTTGAATTAATTTTCTTTAAGAGAAAGAGAATCAACGATAACAATGGAGAATATTTCATTGATTAATCTTGTTCCATTGATTTTTGAATAAAGGTTGAAAATTACCTAAAATCGGAAAAAATTAACTATTAGACCTGATAGCTCGCAGAATAATATTCCTTTGACCAATTTCACAATTAAACTGTGCTTTGATATAATTGTAATTTGGGGCTTGGTTATATAAAAATATGCAGTTTCAATAGAAACTGTCACAGAGTGACACGAACTGTCTTATATTCCTCGGCCAATAGGCGAATTTTATTTTAATAGAATTCCAAAAGAGAAAAAGAGAGAGAGAGAGAGAGAGAGAGAGAGAGAGAAACATTCCACTAAAAATATATAAGGTTGAGAGCGGAAGATCTCCAACACGCACAATGCTTCTCGCTATTTTAATTGAGGAAACGTTTCATATTCTGTTGTATATGTTCATATTCTTAATAAATTCCAAGTTCCTCAGAAACGAAGTAGTAAAACGCAAACTTATTTCGCAGAAAACATTCTGTCCGAATATCAATGTCGATCGTTTGATCTTCTCACTTACAATTCATTTTTCTTTTTCAAAAGAATTTCTTTCAAAATTACGATCTGCTTTTGCAAGACCGCATTCCGCTTAGATGTCAAAACCAATGACTTCACTTTCCATCTACGGTGACCTCCAAAGTCCATAACTTCGATTTCTCCATGTACAACTTGGTCTACTAATTATAATTAATAAATGAAAAAATTTAATAAAACAATGACCCCATGACGTCGACGCTGCCTTTGTCCGCTCGCTCCGCCGCATATATACGTATATATATATATATGTGTGTGTGTGTCCCGACGCCGAGCGCGAGGGCGACTTGTTAAGAATAGCACCGAAGATCGTTTTAACGATCCGAATGAAAATTCGCAATAATTCCGGGCCGCGCGCTAAGGAGATCGGCGTCGGTGATTAGATTAGCGGATTGCCAGATTACAGAGTGGAGCGGCCCCGCGGTAAGAGCAATGTTTCTCACGCGTGCTGAAGTACAGCGTCCTTTAATGCGCACCTTCAAAAATGGCAGGGAGGTATCAGCGACACATCGCTGAAATGTTCGCCAGTTTACACGAACGATCCTCGCGCACGTGAGAGCGCCGCCGGTACACACGCGCGCGCACACACACACGCGCACACGACAAAACGGAGAACATAGAGAGAACAGAGACCACCGACTTTGTTTCGCTACTCGAAGTGCAGATTAATTCGCCTCGCCGTTTACCCGCCTTATCGCTCGCCCATCATCGTCGCGCTGCGGCTGTACAATTTCGAATACGTATTCGCGCACGGGACACACACGGACGCACACTGCGATTATTAATCCAATAACGGACGCGGCCGTACGTTATTTTTTATAACAAGTTACGCTTCGAGGCAATAACATGTTATCGCGCCTTTCCGCCCGCGCTTACGTTACGTAATCCTTTTTTTTTTCTTTCTTTCTCTCTCTCCCCCATTTATTTTTCTTCGCTGAGATTTTCCTCGACGGCTCGCAGGGTCTCAACGGATCTCGTATCTCGATTAAAAGGACGACCGTTGTTGCATTCGAGAACGAGGTCGGTTTCTTATTTTCATACGTACGATCGTACACAATTCCTCGATGTGTGTGTGTGTGTGTGTGTGTGTCGGTTGCAAACGCCGCCGGTTGCGGTACAGCTGAGGCCCGCATGGCGACGAGGCGTTACGTTGTTCTAAGTAAAATTATTGCCTCGACGTCATCCACGTGACACGGAATCAGGCGAAGGTACGTTGACCAAAATTGGCTTGACCACATCGCGTGACAAGCACGGCCGACCGCCGCGCGCGCGAGCGCGAGCGAGCACGAGCGAGTGAACGCGGGGGCGCCAGCATATATGTATACCGTGAAATATTAAGAGTAGTTAAGCGATTTCGAACACGACATGGCAAAGTGGGCGCACCGCCATTTTTGCGGTCCCTTATTAATTTTCGCGGCAACGAAAATTTTCAGCCGTCCCTTGCGAGCGACGTCCGCCTCCGCCTCCGCCTCCGCCCCCGTCCGCACCGCCGCAGCCGCCATCAGCCGCGTCGCCACTCCGGCCAAGTCGTTTTAATTAATTTTAATTGATTAATTTTGACTAAGCTCCTTCTCTCCTTCCCTCTCTCGCTCTTCCTCCCGGATCCGCGTAGCATCTCGCGGCGCGTTATTAAGCGCCACCACTTCACTTCCGAAGTGTTCCCGCGGAGAACTGGAGCGGAGTGTTGCCGGTCGCGAAATGCGCGCTGAAATTTCGGTTAAAACGCCGAGGAGGCCCCGTGATTCTTATCTCCGCTAACGGCGGTAATAATTAGAAAGACCGAGTAATTAGATGAAGAGAACGACAACGCGCCCACCCCCTCTAGGCCCTTTCCTAACGACAGTCACGCACGACATCGCGAGGAGGGGAAAATAAAAAAGGAGAAAAACAGGAGGGGAGACGAAATCTCTCGAGGAGGATCCTTTCGACACGGCTTTTCGCGCCAGAGAGTGACACTCGCCCATTCAACCTGCGTGTCTTCTCACTTTTGTACACCTGTACTCGCAACTAGCGCGATAACGAAATCACTCAGCCGACGCGGGCAAGAGAAGGGAAAGAGGAGGAGAAGGAAGAGCGTCGCAATGCGGGGAGACAAAACAGAAGTAACGACGCGCGAGCGTGCGAGGTGCGATGGTAAAGTTCCGGGGGGAAGGGGGAAGGGGGAAGAGGCGTGGAACGAGTCTGTCGCACTCGAAAGGAGGAGCTCCAGCACCTGGTCGTGTCCGGTGCACGCGGTCTTACTCATGTGGTGAGGAACTTTGCTGTGTTTTCCAGGCGGCCTGGTGAGCTACACCATCCCGGACACCTCGATGCCGGAGCTCAGCGACGTCTCGTACGACGGCGAGAGGCAGGACAACTTGTTGACCGATGGCTTGGGCTGTCTAATCGATGGCGAGGTCGGCGCGGATAATTACAGACAAGACATGGGAGACGGAAAAGGTAATCCCGTGTGTCAGGGTGTGGGTGGTTGGATTCGGGGGCCAGCGGGGAGGGGTGTTAAACAGCGCGAAACCGAGGAAGAAACCACCCGGGAGAATGATTCTCGATTCGGCGAGGGCTATCGCTCCGGCCGGCTGGCGCGATTTTTCGTCGGGAAAGTCCGCGATCGTTGCGCGATTGGGGAAGCGTCGAATCAGTTGGAAGATTCGACACGATTTTTTACTCTGCGGTCGTAAGGCGACCATTTCCTGGGATACAGATTATCGAGTGCTGTCGGGGCTGTTGATAAAGGATCGTGAATGACGATGACGACTACTTGGTTGATTAATAATTTTTGAAAAGAATATTAAAATAAAATTAAAAAAAAGATGGCAACTTGTTCTTGATGAACGGCGAAATTCTTTACCAGGTTAAAAAGATGTCCGAAGTAAGTACTGATTGATTCCCGTAATATATCGGAAACTTCCGAGAGTTCGTTTCGTCGTTGATAATTTCACTGCTCGAGACGACGTGTCATCTTGCGAAGTCTGACAGGTGGCAGAAAATAATGGATACCGATGATAGATACTGTCAACATGGCATGTGCACTGCTGTTTCGTGTTACTGTTAATAATAAAAATATTGAAAAATCGAGATAAAACATGTCTATCGCTAAAAATGAACATCTCTATTTCTGTAATGTCCATTTTAAAAAATGGGTATCTCTTTAGTTCTGAAGTATCTATTTTCATAAGCAAAATATCTGTTCCCGAAGTGTCTGAGAATATTTAAATAGCTGAAATAGCTGAAAGTTTAACGAACTTTAGCAAGTCCCTGATATAAATTCCGACTTCGGTATGCATGAATCTCAGACGTGCGATACAGTATGATGTATTATTCGGCGAAAATTCTCCCCGCGTACGCGAATCGTGAAGAGATCCCGTCGAACTATCTTCTACTTCGTCGAAGAATAAAATTATCCTCCTGCGAGAGACATCAAAATTACGTTTCTTTCCATTTCGTCATGCGAGTTCGAAACGCAGCCTACTCGGTTCGTCTTCCTTCTTTTCCAAATCGCTCCCGTGCAAACTTTTGTCCTCCGCGTTACATCTCTGTTGCAGATTAAGCCCGTGAAACTATCGTGCATAAATCCCCGCGATAATTATATTCGTTTACACGGCGAGCGGAGTAGCGCGATTCACGGTATTTTGTTCGATTCGCGTTATTTTCTCGCTCGTTACAGGCACGGGTTGGGTCGCTTGGCTGCGTGACACTTTCGTGGAGAACTTCGTGGAGCTCATCTTCGAGTTCGAGGCGACGTTGGTCTTCGAAGCGGTGCACATCTATACCAACAATTATTTCTCGCGGGACGTGCAGGTAATCTTCAACTTGCCGCAACGTGCTTCAATGTGCTTCACGTCATCGTAGATTTTTTTCTCGCGGAAAAAGAAACAGGGAGGAGGAGGGGAAACTGAACATTTAATATGATCACGCTCAACAGGACACACACGTCGTACTCGATGAAAATTGTCCGATATTAATAATAACTCTAAAAATCGTCAACTCCTCAAAATTGCGATAGAATCCTAAAATCACCCATCCTGAGCTTGTCTGAATTTTAACCAATTTTGCAGGGCTGAGCGATCCTGCCGATCGATACGATATCTCGAAGTCTGAATTCTGAGCGATAGATCGCGCATCATATAGAGAAGTGACACAAATATAAAGTGTGATTTGGAGTTGATATTATAAAATGTTCGAAATAGTACTTCATAAGCACGACGGAAAATGACGCGTTTGCGATATTCATCGCGCGTTATCCGATACTTATAACCGAGAGATAATTGACTTTACCGAAGCCCCATCACTTCTTTCGCTCTGTCCAGAAAAATAATATTTTTCGAGTCGCGATACGCACGCGTCCATATTTCCATGTGACGTACGATATGCGCATCTCAAAGTCCCTATCAGCGGATTAATCAAAACAGAGGATTGAAAAAACGACGTAACGTGTACGTGTGTGTGTGTGTGTGTGTGTGTGTATGAAATATTGACGAAGTGATTAAAGACACGACGAAAATTTGGCGGATACGCTTATCGGGCCTGCCATCGTTGTGTCGCGCCGGGGTAACGTCGTTAATAAAATTTACACAGTGCGATTATCGTTTTTCGGTGAATCCGACATCGGGACGAGACGAGATCGCTCTGCATGCCGGCGAAAATGCACGCGAAAACGTCAATCAGGAAATGCCAATAATATATCCGCGAAAACGGAAGGGAATATCCACGTGACAGGAAGAGAGAAAGGGAGAGAGATGGGGGAAGCAAGAGAAGGAGAGAGAAGAGGAAAGGGAGGAGAGTGAGAGGAAGGGTGATATTGTCTTCCAATAAAAGTACAGATACCATTTTATAAATACCGGTCCGCGAACGATGCATTACGAATGACACGATTAACGATTTACCGATCGAATGACGCGACAATTATCGCGAGTAGCGCGAGCGCGGTGTATTTCTTTGATGTCAATGTCCCGGTACGATCCGATATAAAAGCGGAGTTTTTCCCTTTCTGTATCAAGGTGTATCGGCCAACAACGTAACAAAAACGAGAATGTAACCGCACGATAAAACACGA